TTGGAAGCCCAGTGGGTTGTGAATTGTGGATTTTATTTATACCTGACGTAAGAAATTGTTTTATAGGGACAAGAGTAATTTGCTGAACAACTGAGAACTGGGTCATTTGTATTAATATTTTTCAAGGACTGATTGCCAAACTTTTAAAAGGACTGAGGCCATGATTCATGGAAGCTGATTTTTGGTGATTGATGGTAATAGGACTGAGTGGAGTACAATTCAGGAAGTAAATGGGTAAGTAAAATTACATGTAATTTCAAATTAGTCAGTTGCACATTTGTGTGCACTTCTGAAATTTTTAGTTCTTGCAATAGCCCTGAATTGTTTGATTGGAAATCCTGATCCTAATTGGCATTGGTGAGGTACTGTTATTAAATTTCATGGGCCATTAGCATCTATTTCTTAATTTTTATTTGCTGATTATCAGTTGGATTTGACCTGAATAGCTCAGTGGCTGGCTAATTAGGTGCTTGACAGCCTGATGGACAGACTGGTTAATTGAATGATTTATCAAACCAGCTGATTCCCTGAACAAAAAAACCACGTGATCCCCCAAAATCCCCGTCCCCTTCCCCCCCCCTTTCCCCCCCCCCCGACCACCTGGACGTTAAATAATGTCTGGGCCCATATTTAACGTCCCTCTGTCCATTTTGCCGGCCGTAGGACGGTCTAAAACCCATGTTGAACATTGTACTTGCAGTCATTCTACTACTATCAGGGATTATGTTACTGTCATCTACGCCTACAGCTTCACATGCTGGTCAAGAAAATTGGAAACATTCTTTAGTGAAATCAAAATGACCTAGATAATTGTCTTTATCTTGTATCAACGAAAATGCATCATAGAAAAAAAATCACCTATGTTTGTGGAAGGAAACAGGCTCAGTACACTTGAGTTTAAGAACCAACGGTTTCATCTTTACCCAAAGCAATAAACTACACAATCAATTTTGTGCAAACAACAGACCATTGTAATCCTCCTTATTAAACCTAGGTGCTTTTGGGGAAAACAATGAAAATATGTATAAACAATAAAAAAAAAATAAAAAAAAAGAAGAAGAAGAAAAGTCTGCGCGCGCTGTTGTCGTGCATTTCGCCGAGTAAATTGTTCTTTTTTTATGGGAACGTATAATCGATGTCTATTTTCTTTCTCAAATTTTGTCATAGTTTTGATTAATTGGTGACAGGACAAGTGATGACGAAATCGGACTAGCGCTTCGCGGTCATTCGATTTTGTCAATGACCCTTATGCCAGACCGAATCAGACTACACTTCATCATATTACCATTATTGATTATCACAGAGGGAATTATTACTCAAAGCAAATGGGTCAAAGGATGGGAATTTATTTCTTTAATCTTGCGGAACATCCGAGAAAAGCACATATTTAAAAAAAAGTTGGAAACGTACTACATTTCCTAAACTATCGTCGTGATATCATTGTCAAGAGACGGAAAACAAAAGCAGTTGTATCACTCTGTTACTGGCAAACATCTGACAAATGAACACCAAATTGATAGTATTGATTTTGATGAGCACATCTCACTAAGTCCTAAGAAAGGTCAGGGAAAGTTGGCCTTTCTCATTCATCAAACGTCATCAGTCGCGCGAGTAAACGGAAACTCAGTACCAACAGACTACTGTGGCAAGAGTATTTTCTTTTCCCTCTAACTTATGTTTGATCACCTGGGCCTATCAAGGACTACTTGACACCTCATCATTACTCTTGAAACTACTTAACCCTGACACGCTGCTAGCACAGATATCAACACCATTTTTCATTTACCAGTTTTCTTCTGAAAATTATATCAAGATCTGTGACCTCTATCACGGCCACAATCACAGTTATTACCACCGTCACCGTCACAATCACTGTCATGATCATTTTCATCGTCACTATTTTAAAATGTTATCATAAATCTTGCTATCATCATGATTACCTCAAATATAAAGAAAAGAATCACAGGGAATACTTCCTTTTGTCACTGCGTATGAAAGGAGTATGTTCAGCCCTGTCTTTATGCAACTTATTGCAGAGTCTGTAAGATACCAGTGTGAACGCAAAAGGCTTACAAAACTTCATAAATACTTTCAGACCTACTTTAGAGTTTAACCACTTACATGATACCGAGAGCTGCATTGCAGAGAATGCCTTAAAATTTCCGCTGATGACGCTACGCAGGTAAACTTTCCCGAGTCGTATTTCTTTGTATTCCAGTATGAAGTGTTCCATCCTCATCGACCTTCGATTTTCCAAATGGTAGCTCACTATTTTCTCTAACCCACGTCACTTTTGCTTTGGGGTCGCCTTTGGCCTGGCAAGAGACTGAAACGTTGCGGTGCTTGAGTACGTCTAGATCTGAAGGAGGACGCACACTAAATTTGGGCAGTTGTACAACGCTAAGATGCGTAACGGCTAAGGCCTGCCCTAATTGATTTGACGCCATACATTTATACATGCCAGAATCTTTATTCTGTCAATTCAGTAACGACAGTTGTCCACCTTTCAGAACAGCTCCGCCTTGCTCTATTTTACCGTGCACTTTAGACCACGTGGTCACCGCTGAAGGGAACCTAGTCACGTGGCATTCTGGCAGCGTGATATTTTTTTCCTTTTCGACGCAAGATGGGCCAAACGAAAGAGAAACCTTGGGCTGGCCTAAAGAATAATAAAAGAGGAAGAAACAACAGGATTCTATTGACAGAATTATTAAACAGCGGAGTTATTTAAATACTCTGTGTAACCCGGTTAAGTTTTCCCGTTTGTAACAGAGAAGCTCTCTCTAAACAGACAGAAAGAAACATATGTTAGTCTCTTGGGATTAAGGAACCCCAGGAAGAAAATTTTACCAAGTTTTGAGAGAAAAACGACCATATATATGTGACCGCATATGTATGTGGATCATACTGCCCACTTTTTTCTCTCGTGCCAGAGTACTTCGAAGAGGAGCCTACTCCAATGATACTGTGTAATCAAGGTTAAAAGCTACCCCCTTCCCCTCTTCCTCTTTAACCTCCACAGACTTCAAGCAAGAGAAACCCAAAGCGCCTAACGAAAGTGTTAAATCCCACGTTTTATAAAGGAGAAAACAGCATTTCTTATGAACGTTTTCAATTAGGCCTGCACGCCGAAAGTACTCTGACTCGAAGACATGCTTATGACAAAAGGGAGGAAATTAGCTGAAATTTGCTTTGAAATTTTCTTTAAAAGCAAAACAATTTAAACGACGTCAGCAAAAATGATTAGTACACAACAAAAACAACAAGAAAAATACACAGCACGAGATAACTGAAGCATGAGGTCATGAGTTAAAAAACAGGAAGTCACGTAGTCTGTTTGACGAGGCTTACAAAATATGTCGAGGCAAATCAAATCAAAGATGGATTCTGCCAACTACTATGCTTCGTGCCAACAACATACAAAACTTACTTTCTAGACGTTTGTTAAACCATTTTCACATCTAAACATCAGATTTTTCATGAAAAGGCCAGAATCTTCGATCTATTTTTGCATCACTGGTTTAGAGGTCAAAATGACAAATGAGTGTGTTTTTGACAATATTCGTACGGGTTTTCCTCTTCAAGTACAAATCGTCGAAAATTCTGAGACTACAGACAAGCGACAAGGATTAACTACATTTGAGAAACGCGTTAAAAAAAATGAAAGTGAATTATAAAGTTAAAAAAATTGCCAAGGACAACGTCTTCTTCCTTTATTACATTAGTCTCCCCTAACGCTTGAGAAACAGAAAATTATCATTTGTAATGTTAAAAATTTTGGAGTCTTCGTTGAAATAAAAGCGGCACTAAGCCGCAAATTTTCTCTCTCCAACAGATAACAACAATTTCTTATTTCACAGCGAATTTTTCCCTTTGGAAAGGTGTTCTTTATGCTGTTTGACGCGCAACAGCTAACTTGTATCGGTCAGCTTACAGTCGGCAAACGATTATACTCTAATCAAGCCAATTATAGAATTACCTAGTAGATTACCTTCACTCTGAGTCTTTCCCATTCCGTGTTTCAGTAAAGAAATGACCTCCTCGACAGCTTCCAGCCGTCGGTCCTGATCAGTAAACTTCAGCTTGATTCTAATAAATCCAGCGGAATAAAATAGCAGACAGAAAACAGATAGTACCGTGCCAGTGTTCAATAATGAATAGCACTCTTTTTTAGGCATCTTTACACAGAGTGCTTGAAATTCTGTCTTAATCAATAACCCTCCCTCAGCTATCTGAATTCAAGGAATCAAATTCTAATCTTGGATCACCCTCGGCGACAGCTAAACTATATCGTCAAGTTCCCGTGGCAAATGGCTTGTTTTCTTAGCGTCATACTGAGTCGACTTGTAGACAATGTCTGAGTAAAATATATTAATAGTTATAGCCCCCATTTGGCGCGCAAATATGCTATTTGTCCGCGAAAATTGTCTGGTCGACCTAAATATCGTGTTATGTTTGCCAAATGCTGGGAAATTTTAAAACATCGGGAGCAGGGTGATGCATGTGAAAGCTACAAGGTGAAAAACTTTCCGTCACGTTTCCTTACGCGCATATAAAACTTTCGGAGGTACTTTTATTCAGTTGTTTCGGTATCATGTGTGTGTGAACTTCGTCTTAACGCTGAAACTTGTTTACATTGAAAATATCTTCCCAGTTTTCGTAAAGCGAGCATTGCGTTGATATTTTGCGTAGAAATTTAAGGTCAAAAAGATAAACAAAAGTACCATTTAATACCGCATAAACATTTTCTGGTCATTTTTGTTTTAAAGTAATAATAATTTTTCTTTGCGAAAACTGGAGCGAAACGGGAAGCCACCTGGTACCTCTTCGGCTGCTCGGAGGTCAATAGTACTCGGCTAAGCCGAGAGGGCTAAGCAGTGCGTGCTAAAACACTTTTCACTTGCGTGGTCGAAAGTAGGTCATATTTTACCAGGCCCAGCAAAACTTGAAAAAACATAGTCATCCCGGGGGGAATTTTAATTACTTGGCGGAAACAGTTATGATGTGCCAACTTACTAAGAGTTTATTTGACATTTCAGAAGGAAACTTCTTCAAGTTTATTGTTTTCATTGATAAGGAATCAAATTTCCTATCACATGTCTGAACTCTTAAAAGATAAGCAAGGTAAAACAAAGGGAAACAAATGTTGCGAAGTTACTCTAAGCGTGAGATATATCCTTAGTATTTTCGTACATTCAAAAAAGATTACATTTAACCTACGTGTAGCCGTCCCTCTCTCCCCCCAAGGAGAAACGGAAGGGGTTCTCCTTGAGAAGAAGGGTACAGCCACACGAACGCTTCATTGCATTCAACGATTTTACAAGAAAAAAATTCCTCTTAGAACAAGCTTGCCTAAAATTCAAGGAAACAAAGGTAACCAAGGAAAAAAAGAGTTAGATTTGCTTCTGATTTTTCTTCATTCTTCTCAAACTGTTATAGAATCATAACTTGTTTTGTGAATCAAACCAACCATGGATAAACTACCTTAATTGTAAAATTCAAAGTTTGTCATTGGTGTGGGGAAAGCAGTTGCAGTCACGCTGTAACTCTTTGGCTGAGCAATCCCCTCAGTGTCACTTTATTGTAATGTATATACTTCAACCCTCATACAGGTCCATATGACGGCTGTGACTGGATGAAACCGGACAAATCTAGCCTTTACTGGTGGACCAAACGAGACGGTTGTTTTGTAACCCTGATAACGTGTCTCTTGCTTCACAACCTGCCGATAAAAAGAGACTTAAAGGTCAAAATTGGTTCCTGAGAATAACTCCTTAAGGGAAAGATTAATACGTATAGACGAACCTCCATTCAGTGGACACTATTACGACCAGGGAAAGTGTCGTCATAATAAAGATGGCCCCTCAATGAATCAACAGATACAAAGGCTATGAATAAGGAACCCTCATTATTTATCACCTGGGGCGGAAAGGATGGGAAGATTTCGTTTGTGTCATAATTAAACTTACATGATCCCCTAAAATC